GCTAAGAATGATAGAGGAGTTTAGTCTGGAGATAGTCCGTAGTATTTTGAACAAAGAGAAAAATCTGCTCCATCAAGGTTCAAAATTTATCGGAACTACTATCCTGGGGCCTAACGTTAATCTCTATGCTGAAATGCATCTTTTCTTTACTCCCATGTGCTATCCATTAAAGAATTAAGGTTTTTGAATTTTGATTCAGTTTTTTTAACTGTTTGGGATAAAAGTTTCGGCATAATAAAAATGAATATGTATTCCCTACATTAGCACTGACCAGCTGCTAAGTCCCAGAGGGCCACACACCCTGGAGGCCCCACAATGTGGCCTCACTGCTTGCGTCGCAGGTCCCTGGGCAGCTTGGACACTCCCTCCTGTTGCACGGTGTGCCCACGCATACAGCCCCTCCTCCCCACTGCTGCCCTGGACGTGCCCCCCCACTACAATGTGCTAGTGTGTATTTGCAACTCCCCCCACCGCTCTCTCCCTGTCCTCTTCCCGGCCACAATGTGGGCTTGCTAATACCCGGCCCTCCCCACTGCCACTGTTACACAGGGCACCTATTGAGGGTGTAGCCATAGACTCATCCTCAGCTTCCTTCACTTCTCCCCACACTGCCCTGGCCCCTGGGCTGGAGATGGGCAATGGCAGCCAGAGGAGGGCGGGAGAGCTCAGGGACGCTGGCTGCTGTTGTAGCCAGAATGATGGGGGCAGCAGTGACTAGGCAGGAGCCTTAGGGCCTCAACTTAATTCTTTGAAAGCTTCCATTTGCGCAGTCCTCTTCTTCACGTTGATTTAAATTAAATCCTGAAATTCTAATGATCTCCCATCTCCCAGTCATTATATGTTGGTTTCTGTCTCTACAGGGTAGCTTTGTTGCTGTTGCTGTCCTAGAGCAGCAAAGGTCATGTTTCAACTGTTTTTCCATTTGCACCTGGGTTGTTTTGTGGCACTCCTTATAGCCTTCTCCCCACCTCAAGCTTTTGCTTTTTAGCCTTACCCACTACTTGTGGTGTGAGAAGCAGCCTTGGGCATGCCTTCTCCTTTTCTTCAAAAAAAAATTCTTGCTCTTTGTCATCTTGTTTTCTTTGGAAAAAACATTAGTAGCTGAAGCTACTGTGTCTCCTCCCTTCCTCAGAAATTCCTGGCATGAAGATTATGCTCCCCTCTGGTTAAAAGAACAGCAACAGTTGTACTTCTTAGCTTCTTTTCTCTCCTGTCTTTAGAGAAACCAATTCCCTGGCCCTTCTTGGCCTGATTGCCTGAGCCACATTTCACTTGGTTGGTCAAGTGGCTTTTTTCAAGTCCTGAATTTGATTAAGTTATATACCTAAATCTGGTAAAATGATTCATCAGGAGATCTAGAAAATGTCATCTTTGGCTCTGTGCTAGCTTTGGTAAGCTCTACCAAAGAGGTACTAGAGCTGTTTGCAGGATTAAGAAGGCAGAAGTACAACAGTTTTAACAACAGAACTACAGTGGTTTGCCTTTGGAAGGTTACCTTTGTAAGCATATAAGGTTCAGGAGCATTTCCATCCTGGAAGCTTTGATAAGGGACAGCATTAACTTAAAACAGTTTTCTAATTGTGATCACGTGGATTTTGCAAGCCCTCCTAATTTAATAGACTTTCACGGGTTCTGAGTTAGTGGTGGTTCTTAAGGAGAGAGTTGAGATGTCATTATGAATATCTCAGTGAAAGGATCAGCTTGTGTAGCCTGAAAAAGCAATATGCCATGACACTTTGCTAAGTGAGCATAGCAAGGTAAATGGCAGAATAAATGTTAATGTTTAGCACTAGGAAAGGGAATGGGGAGAAAGGCCATTGGATTTGAACTCGGGAAATTTGTGTTCTATTTTCTCTCTCCTGCAAACTGTCATATGACTTTGAACAAGTTGCTGCACCACAGTTCTCCTTATCCGTTAAAATAAAACTAGTTGATTCTGTAAGCTGTTAAATCGGAAAACATCACTGAGGTTTACAGGCTGGTATTTTTGCTTTTACAGTTCACTGTAGTTCACATTTTGGATGGCCATGGTTATTAACTTTTCTACTAAAGAGTCCTCGTCTGTGGTCAGAATAGTTACAGTATTTTAAAATCAGATGCTCTTTGAATAATACTGGTTGTGTATTTCTGAAATACTGATGTGCCAAAGTCTTCTACAGTCAAATCTACCTTTGTGTGGTTTAGGTAAGAAATTTACAAGAACTTTCAACGTGGGTACCTTTTCTCTCCAAAGGACAGCTGTATAATGTGACGTGTAATAAGTCTAATAGTTTTGTCCTTTTTTTGAAGTCAGACACAGTATTTCTGTAACTTAACATATAAAAAGGTGGGTCTTTTTTGGTAGAAGCAGAAAACATTTCTTGGTACTCATTTAAAAAATAAATTCTTATCTTTCATACAAAAATACTTTTACAGGGTGGATCAAGGAGCCTAAGCTTTTGAAATTGTGAGCATTTGGATCTGAGAATCACTACACTCAAGTATATATTGGGTAGAAAGAGAGTTGTTTATTTCTCCTTTGAATGTGCTATACATGTACCTAATGTAAATGGATTTTTCTTATACATTAATTCTAATATTTTTCAAGGTAAATTAGGCCAGAGTGACATGGTGATAAACTCTCTCTGATAATATCAAGCAAGTGAATGTTCTGGTTTTCTCCAACAGTGTAGTTCAGTGACAGTGTTTCTGACCTTGTTAAAAACAATTACCTATGAATTAAATTTGTTCAGTTAGGCCAGCCAACCATCATTGTAATGCAGGGGTGTCCAACCTTCTTGAATGTGGCACCGGATCATGAACTTTTTATTACCTGGTGGGCTGGCAAGCCGTAATCAAACGCCCTCTGTCCTGGGCCAGAGAGACCCTTCCTGTGTAGCCCTACTGCACCTGCCTGTTACTGCAGGGTTCATGGTAGGTGCTGGTGGGCAGGGGCAGGAGGGCCCCATTCTGCATCCAGCCAGCTACTGCCCCAGAGACTGAAGGGGAGAAATAAATAGCTCCACATCTCCATCCCCCAAGCAGCGCAGCCCCACGAGCCAGCGCTGCCTGAGGGTGGCTGGAGTGAGGTGGCTGCTGCATTGCAGCCCCTCACCCACCCGCCCGCATGGCCCTGCTCACCGTGGTGCCCAGCTGCCCGCGCACGCAGCCCCAGTGGCCTCAGCGCTGCGAGCCTGGAGTGCGGGGTCCAGCAGACACCGGCTCCCGCCGCTTCAGCCTGCAGAGGTCACGCCAGGACCCCTCCTGCCGAGGCCCCCCCCCGTGCTGGCTTCTCACCTGCTGCTGGGGACGGGAGGACCCTGGCCATGTTGGCACCAGCCAGCAGGGCGGTGGCAGAGCCGTGTGCCGCTCAGGACTGACTGGTGCAGGTAGGGGGAAAATGCAGCTGAGCCCCTGCCGCTCTGGCTGGGCTCGTCCCGTCTCCGAGCTCTTCCCGTCCCCAGCAGTATGTGGGGAGCTGACTTCAGCTGAATGCCACTTTTTCTGGCTGGTGCTGACCCGGCTGGGTCCGTCCCATCCGGAGCAGCCACAAGCTGCTGGGGACGGGAGGAGCCCGGCCGGCAGAAGCGGCGGTGGAGCCGTGTGCCGCTTGGGACGGGACAAGCCTGGCCAGAGCGGCAGAGGCTGTGCTGCATTTTCCCCCTGCCTGCGCCCGTCAGTCCCGAGCAGTAAATGGCTCCACCACTGCTTCTGCTGGCTGGTGCCAACCTGGCTGGGCTCCTCCTGTCCCCAGCAGCATGTGGGAAGCCAGCTTCAGCCGCATGCTACTCCGGATGGGACAGACCCATCTCACAGTTTTAAGGTGAGATGCTGTAATACATCCGGAGGAATATAAGGAAAGAACTAGATAGTACTGCCTATATTATCAGTGCCTTGGTAACAATACACTTGTTGCTTTTTCAGGGTAATGGGGTAATTTTGCAGATGCTCATAGGTTGCTGCTTCCAAGTGAAGAGGAGAAAATGAGAAAAAAAACTATGAAGGTGCCCATGTGAAAAATTAACATATAGCTGAAGACTGGCTTTTATTTGACCAACTGGAGTCAACATTTTGATACTGATTGAGAGCTTGATTGCTGAGGGGGGAATTACCAGGAAAATTAAAGCAAATAGAGTATAGTTGATGTTATAAAGAGGGGGATATAGCAGAGATAAAGGGATCCAGGTACTCCTTTTGGCTTTGAGTTTTGAGATGCTCACAGTTTTGGAGGGATCAAGTCTCTTCCCTTCTGAGACCTGACACAGTCTGGCTCAACTGTTAAGCCTGGGCCTCTCTCCTCAGCGCTTAAGCACATTCTTTTCCAGACCTCTCTCTTTTCAGGTACTCTGGCTTACTATTTTCCTTTTCACGAACACATGTTGGTCAAAATGAACACACTGCAAAAGAAATTCCGAGCCATGCTCCAGTGGCACTTACTGGCAGCCCTCAACGCAGTCCATACAAAACCAAAAGGACCTGTGCATAAATCCTTGTCTGAGTTTCGTTAACATTTGGAAGTGTTTTTGCAGGGTATGAGGTGGAATTTGGTGAGTATAATTTTAAGACATCAGTGCCTCTCTGGCTACACTTGTGTAATTCAGGTCTTCTCTTCTAAGCCCTGAGGTCTTTCTGTGAGATGGGAATTCCCATACTAGATCAGACTGTGGATCGTCTGATATTCCTGTCTCTCACGGTGGACAACCCCAGATAGATTGGAGGAGAGTATAATAATCCTACAATAGAAAAATAGGTTTATATGCCCACTACATAGGCCTCTAGTGTCAGGTACTGTCTTAACCCCTGAAACATGAAACAACATTGTTTTCAAAATATTTGCTGTTACTGTATTAAAATAATTTTGGATAGCCACAGATTAAATATTTGCTTCTTTTATTTTCCCAGCCCTGCTCTGCATTACTTGGTGATATTTGTGTTTCAAAAGGAAATTTTAAGATTGAGAGGGAGATATTTAATTAGTTTGAGACTAAATCAGATAACTTTTTAATTTTTTTTTCTTTCAGACAGAGATTAGTGTTTCTGCTTGGCGTGGGCAGTTTGCAGCTCTTTGTTCAGAGCAATTGGACTGGACCTCCTGTTCAGTTACAGCCTCAGGACTTTTTGCCATCTTCGTTGTTACAGCAGTTCTGCGAGGTATGCTTTCATTTTAAAAAACTGTTTCTGAACAATTATTGTTATTCCTATTTACAAATAGCACAGTTCTCTTGACATGGTATATACCAGTGTACACAAACAAATGCTGGCAATGGGAATGATATGAGAGTTTTCTTGTCTCTTTGCACATAAATCTCTTCTAAGCACAGACTTGAGAGACTATTTTGGGGGGCATATAATGAACAGAAGTGTTGAAGTCAGAGCAGCTGTAGAGATCTCTGTCTTGTTAAACATCTGAGAAAGAAAAGTGAGCAGCATTCCACAAACATATTTCTGAAATGTTTCTGTTTTCTCTGTTAAAACATTGTTCACTACCATGTGGGACACCAGGTAGCTCTGCCAATTCATTCTTCACATGGGCAGATTTGTAGTGGGCTACAGGGACTGGTATACATGAGACTTAGGCAGTGGATTCAGAAGTACAAGCACAAACTTTTCCTCTTACCCATGTATAGGACTTTTAGGTGACTTCAGAGCTGCCATCTGGTGTTTTCCCAAGGAAGAGCAAGAGTTCTCTAACCATTGGGATTTTTTCCCACCGAAATTCATAATATTCTGTTCTGACATCATAAGTAGATGAGTAATACAGAACTGGATGTTGTTGATTTTTATAAAGTAGCCACAGTAAAAGTGTCCAACCTAATTAAACAGGTAAAAGGAACATCTCCAGCAGGGAATCTTTAATTCATTTTGGGCACATCATGATTTGATTGCAAGGTACTGTTCTCATAGTCATCTTCAGAGGATTCAGATTACAATGAATATGAAGCATTTTTGTGAACTTTTTTAACTGGATGAAAGAGCAGTTTCTCAAATGTGAAGTGAGATGCATTTTGCTTGCCAGAATTTAAGTTTGAATTTTTTTTTTGCAACAACTTGCATAGCTATTGTGGTTTTTATGTGCACAACTTTTATTTTCTATATGGCAGTTGATGTCATATCAACATTTTTTGCAAGAGTAGTTGTAGCATAGCAGTGTAATAGCAGACTGTTCTTGATATCTCCTGAGTCCTTATCCTAGTGAGTCATTGTACATTTACGTAAGTTATTTAACAAATGGGAACAGGGTAGGACTGGCTGCTCTTCTAGTCCTTCTATAGAGTTCTTGCTCTTTGCTGTGATTTCTGTCAGTCATAACTAATAACCAGATTGGGGGGTGTTCCTGTACCTGAGATCCTATACAGGTTCTTCAGCAGTGACTTGGGTCAGCAACCTATGGCCTGTGGTCCAGATCTGGCCCACTAACCACATTTATCCATCCTTTGAAACCAGGACATCAGTGACGTTTCAGCAGCGGGGGGAGTCAGTTGCAGTTCGGCAGCTGGAGAAGCAGCAGCAGCTGCTGCCAATCACAAGCAGCTGCCTGCCTTTGGACCAAGCTGTGTTAATTGGGCCCACTGTTGCTAAAAGATTGCTGACCCCTGTTCTAAAGTAGTGGAACAGAAGCAACATGCAGATACTGGTTTCAGGGGAGAGGCCACAGGGTGTTCGTTAGCAATTCCTGCTCCCTGTGGTGTTAATGGGAGGTAGAGCAGAAGGTATTTGCTTTCACTCAGGTGTGCTCTGCTCTCTCCCCCAAAAAACTGAGAAGTGAGTGAGTAAAGATTGAGGGGATTGCTAGGCAGTTTCAAGAAGAGGAAGCCAACTGCACATGGCCTCAGATGTTCAAAATACAATATGAAAAATACTTTTGTTCACGAAAGGGTTTGGGGCCCTAACCTGTCAAGCAGCTCAGCACACAGTCAATCGAGATTGCAAGAAGGCAATCTGTACTAAGCCTTTGCCTTTCTAGTCAGCCAGAAGGCTCCTACTGACTGTAGCTTTCTTGTATCAGGTTTTTCATTGTAGGTGCTGTAACTTTTTTTCCTTAAGACATATACACCTTTTGTTAACTGAGGTTTTTAATGGAAACTGAAACTTAACTGAAATTCCTCTTAGTGGCCCAATATTATGATGTCGTCTTGACCACTACATTACCTTAACATTTATTGTTGCATTTGAAATTATACTTACCAAGTTGCTGAGATGTTAAGGAACTACATGTAGATGGCGTTTTTTCTCTGTAGACAACACCATAAATACACAGAAATGATGTTTGGGGAAGGCATGTGGTCCACAGATACTGATGAATATAGGAGGTATAAAACAAGGCAAATGGCAAGGTTTAATTGGATTTGATGAAAGAAATATTTGCATTGAAAGTGTACTAGAATAAATTTGAATTAAATTTATCTTGAATGAGTGATCTCTGTTTCTGATGAAGCTTCAGCTGTTACCAGTGGTTTTGATTAGGCTTAATTGAAATGTTGGCATTAGTGGATTGAGTGATTTATTACATTGTACACTTCATTACTGCAAGGTCTATTTCTGCTTAAGCATTCTCTGCTAATTCTACATCCATACATGACTAGGTTTGGATGTAGAATTCCATTATGAATAAGATATTAATTTATAAAAAATATAAATGACTGCAGAATGAGAAGTAAAATTTAGTAAGTTTAATGAAGATGGAATATTAAGGAATTAAGCGAGTTTTTTTTTTTGTTATATGGCATTTAAAAAATTGTATTTCACACAGTGTTCCATCTTCTCCTGGGATTCTAGTTATACTTGAAGGCTGAGATTTAGCCCTGTCATTATGTAGCCTGTACCTGTGCATTTATACATACATTTAAAATTTGGGTGTAGTATCCATCATGTTAAAATAAGGTGGTTTATCAGTTTGGCATGTATTAACCGTAATCTGATGAAAACTATTAAAAAAATATGACACCGCACTGACTACAGATGACTGACACTGTTTTTATTGTTCCACTACTGGAAAAGTTATTTAGTCTTCATGGCTAGGGACAGAAGTTGCACATAAACCAGCTTAAGTGATCAGAAACTGGTTTAAACCTGTAACAGAATGGAAGCTCAGTGCACATAAAACAGTTTCAAAATGACTGAAACTGGTTTAAGAACAACCTGGTTGAATGTGGTATCAGACTTAACTGATTTAGGTCAAACCAGTTTATGAACCTTGTGTCCCAGACCCCTTCCTGGTTTAAGTTAAATGAGATTCTCCCAGCCTGCTTGTCAGCCCTGGGCTGTCTGTTCCAGAGAGCAAGGCTGGTGCTGCCCCTCTTCTCCCTAGCTGAAAGAGTGAGGGCTGCCTCACTGGCCCCCCAATGCAAAACCCAGCTGGGGTCTGGGGCAAGGGAGGGGGGTTAAACTCACCTTCCACCGAGTACAGAGCTGCCGTGCCATGCTAAAACGTAGTGCTGGCTGCAACTGTGGACTACAAATCCAAGAGGCATCTGGCAGCAGGAAGAGGAAGTGATGAGGAACTCTGAGAGTCCTGCTGCTCTGATTCTGGACTCCAAATCTCAGAGACCTTGGGGGCAGTGGGAAGAGTAAGCGAACACACAGTCCAGGCTGCGTTTCTAGTTCTTCAGTTTATAGTTTTTCAGAGGGAGAACTATTCTTGTTCAAGCTTTTATAAATTTAATGTCACTACTTTCCCTCACTGTCCCTCCCTGCCCAGGCAGAGCACAGGCTGGGGCCTGGCCATGCCCCCTCTGCTCCAGCAGGGAGGGAGGAAAAGTCTTGGAGGGCTCTCTTCCCTTTGTGGCTGGCAGGTGTGCTCTAGCACCCTCCAGCTTCTGGCTTGAGTCATTGCAGGCATGTGGCTGCATTTCCTGAACCAAAAGTGAATGTGCGTTCTTTTGCTTATCGGTTCAGTCTCTATAGCTTAGACTAACCTGCAAAGACTGAATCAATTCAGCCTTGGGCTTTTTGTCTGTATTTAGATCATGAGTGCATAGGTAGGAGGACTGTAAATAAAATATCAAGGACGTGAAACCTCAGAGAGAGGGAAAATGATAAATGTGTTGAAAATGACAGTTTATCTTGATATTTGTTCTATTTTTCCAGCCTGTGTTAGTGCAATAGAAATAAACAAAGAAGGCACAACTTTTTTTCAAACTTATATAGGCCTTGTGTAATCTCAGAATTTAAGTCTAGCAAATCAAGGTCACTGAGAGTTCATATAGGTAGTACAGTGTAAGGTGGACTTTACTGATTTAGCAGCCAGCACTAACTAGTATTTCATTACCTTAATTTGTTTTAGAGAGTAGTCTTTTAATTTGATAAAGAAGACTGTCCAATAGTCATATTAGTCCAACAGTCATATCATCTGTATCAGTCAATCTGTTCAGATACTTGAAAGAAAACGATATTATTCACTGGCTATTGAATGAAAGAATTCACATGAGTATCTTTTCTCTACATTTACAATGGTTATAAAAATAACGTGTTGGCACCATGTAATGGATGATTGCTTGCAGGAAGGTAGTAGCTATACCTAAGAAATAAATCAGCTCCAGAATAAAGCAGAGCAGATTCCAGTGATGTGCTTGTTTTCTAAAAAATCTGCATTGGGCTCTAAAAATCAGTTCTTCAAAGTATAACTGTTTATACATTCAGACAGAAGTTTAGCACCATCACAGCATCATCTCCTGATCTCTAGAGGTGCACCGATGCATTGGTCCCGTATCGGTTCAGCACCTATATATGGAAAATTGACTATATTGGCATTTGGCTTTTTTGGCTCATGTGGCCAATAATGCCACCGATAAATGTCCCGTGCAGGTGCTCACCTGTAGCGCAGCATGCAGGCAGCTGGGAGCATAGCCTGGCAATGTGGAGAGCAGCAGGGTCTGGTTGGTAAGTCTGTTGTGAGAGAAGGGGTGGGGGGCTGGGGAGGATGAGGCCCCTGTGATGCGGGAGGGAGTAGGGCAGGGGCAGGTGATGCACAGCTGGGGTGGGGTGCAGGACAGCCACAAGTGGCTTGTGTGGGGTGACACCTCCCACTGCTGCACACACTCTGGGAGAGCATGGGGTTGTGTGGCCCTGGATTGGTGTGCGAGGTAAGAGCGGGCTGCCTTGCGGGCTGGGGCTGACTCCAATGCCAGATACTTCCTGGCGGGGGTTGGGCT